ACACAACTTCTACATGTTGCTACATGTTGCACAACCTGGCCGCAGACGAGACACGGATCAGGATGATCAGCACCGCTGTATCCCTACAGTAAAATTCGACTATTCGACCTTGCTAAGGAGAGGACACGCATCCGCTGTCGTAGGCCGGTCGTGCTGCAGAGAAAGAGGGGGACTCGCAACATAGATACCATAAATCTCCTCGCTGCGCCGGTACGAACAACGAAATTACACTAGACACTCATATGCACCCAGCATTGCTCGGACGAACGGTATCAGACAAAGCACGACGTGAGCGGTCAGCGTCATCTGAGAAGCACCCTTCTCATGCCAAGATACACGGGTGTGATAAGAAGCGCGCGCGATGGATAATAAGTACATGGATCGCTTGCACAGAATACCTTGCCTCTACCAATATCGTGTTTGCATGCTGCCTTGAAAATATGACCTTGCAGGATGGGACCACCCGCTAAGAAATGAGTCTAGTATGTGGGTGGAAAGGACACATTACGCTCTCGTTTTGGGTTGCAGTTTGCACTATGTAGCTGCGTATACGTTGCTGTACATTAAACCTTACGACATGCCAATGGACGCAACCGGTGTAACACACAACGTTCAAGAAACGATTTGAGGTTCAAATTGAGAAAGGACCCAAACCAGTTTGCTTTTCTGATTGAAATCAGATCGCGCGTTTGACCCACCCAGCTGGCGCAACAGATGGGCGTGGACGGCGGCGCGCGATGTCGACGCTTAGATCCGCTCATTTTACAATTTCAATTGTACTCGAACGATGAAGATTGTCCTCATCTTGTCGGTCCTCGCGGCGGCGGCCCAGGCCAAGATCACGAGCTCGGCGCTTCGCAAGCTCGAGCAGGAGCAGACGTTCACGGCATTTGTGACCTTCAAGCCGTCGGCGACGACGGGCCTTGAGAGCCTCGAATCGACGCCGATTGGTGAGCGCCGCGAGGTTGTCTACTCGGCGCTCTCGGCCGCTGCGGTCGAGCACAAGGAAACACTCTCCAGCGTCGTCGGTGACCGCAAGGTCAAGGCGTTCTGGATCACCAAAGCCGCGACGGTCGAGAACGTTGACCGCGCGCTCGCCGACAAGATCGCCAAGCTCGACAACGTCCTCAAGGTCGACGTCGTCAAGACGATCAAGGAAAGCCCGGTCCTCACCAAGAAGGACGATGGCGCCGAGAACTCGCCCGCGGATAACTCGCGCCCGACTGGCATCCAGTGGGGTGTCACGACGATCGGCGCCACCGATGTCTGGAAGACGACCAAGGGCGAAGGCATCATCATCGGCTCGATCGACTCGGGTGTCCGCCACACGCACGAATCCATCAAGTCCAAGTGGCGCGCGGCCAAGGGCTGGTACGACCCGTACTACCAGACGGCGGAGCCCAACGATTTCAGCGGCCACGGCACCCACACGATTGGCACATGGTCGGCGACTACGGCATTGGTGTTGCCCCCGGCGCGCAGTTCATTGCTTGCCTCGGCCTGTACAAGGGCAGCGGCACCAACGCGGCCTTGATCGAGTGCGCCGAGTTCATGATGTGCCCGACCGAGACGGACGGGTCGCACCCCGACTGCAAGAAGGGCGCCAACGTCGTCAACAACTCGTGGGGCAGCGACTCGAGCTCGGATCCGTGGTACCAGGACGTCGTTGACGCGTGGCACAAGGCGGGCATTACGCCCATCTTTGCCAACGGCAACGAAGGCCCTGCCTGCGCGACCGCCGGCAACCCGGGCAGCTACCCCAACGTCATCGCAGTCGGTGCGATTGGCTCGCGCACGGACGACCCGACGCAGCTCGCGTACTTTTCGTCCAAGGGCCCGGCCAAGTACGTCGACCGCTTGAACCAGGTGCACACGATCGTCAAGCCCGACGTCTCGGCGCCCGGCTTCTTCACGTACTCGGCCGTCAACTCGAGCGACACGTTCTACGACTACAAGGCGGGCACGTCGATGGCGGCGCCGCACGTCGCCGGTGTCGTTGCTTTGCTCAAGTCGGTGCAGAAGGACTTGACGTACGACGAGATCTACCACTTCCTCACGACGACGACGGAGCAGGCGATCTTGCAGGCCGAGCCGGAGAAGTGGCTTCTCACGCGCAACCGCACGCTTCCGGGCGCGCCCAACTGCGGCGGTGTCGACGACAAGGTGTGGCCCAACAACCGGTATGGTTACGGCCGCGTCAACGTCGCTAAGATCATCAAGGACGGCAAGCTCCCGGCCGCCCCGGCGACGCCCGCCCCGACTGCGGTGCCCACACCGGCCGAGTTCTCGCTCTGCAACTACAAGCACAACCTTCTCTCTGAGTGGAACGGCCAGCTCTTTGTCGACACGGAGAAGAAGAACTTGAACGAAAAGTTCTGGTACAACTTTGACGACAAGTCGATCCAGTCGCAGAGCAGCAACACGACGTGCCTCGACGTGTACCAGGACACCCAGGGCGCCAACAAGCTCCGCCTCTACACCTGCACGGGTAGCTCGGCGCAGAAGTGGGACTTCGAGCCCAACTCGCACAGCCTCCGCCACTTGACCGTGCGCAATCTCTGCCTCGAGTCGGCCCACGCCACGCCCGGCGCTGCCCCGTTCGTCGCTGAGTGCACGGGCGGTGTCAGCCAGTGGTTTACCAAGTGCCAAGACGCGCCGGCGGCCAAGAGCTACGTCAAGCTCATCACCAAGGACCAGAAGGTTTTCTCCGAGTTTTACTCGGGTCTTTACGCCAACTGGGCCTCGGACACCACCAACGAGCTCTTCACCTACGACGCTGCGGCCAAGACGCTCCAGGCGGCTAGCAACGGCGAGTGCCTCGACGCCTTCCGCGACGGCGACAAGTTCGGTCTCCACACGTACGCCTGCGACGCCACCAACGGCAACCAGAAGTGGATCATCGATGCCGGCAACCACAAGATCAAGCACGCGACGCACAACAACTTGTGCTTGGACGTGGACCCGACCAACCCGGCGCACGCGGCGCAGGTCTGGGAGTGCCATAACTGGAACACCAACCAGTGGATCGACGCTGTCGCGTACTAAGTAGTCTGCTTTTGCATCTTTGCGTAGACTGGTATTATATCAAGTAATACTTCATCTTTTTTGATTCCATGCTTTGTCAATGTTGGCACAAGTAAAGTAGAGATAAAGTGGTCTTTTGATTGTGGTACACCGGTCTGACGGAGGAAGCGTTGGTGGCAGAAGCGCGGAGGCGATCCATGCTTGATGCGCGTTTTTAGACAAACGATTCGAGACTAGCACCCTTCTGCATTTCAGCGCCGTCTGCGCTGCGCGGCAGTGTGGAAGACGACAACTCGTGGAAGACGAACCTTTTGAGCAAAGCACTCGAGGTTTAGGTTGTCGTGAACATGAATGGCCTCGACGGCGGCTCATTGTGGGTGGCCTTGGCCCTCGCCACGACTAAAAAGACGCCCCTCTTAGTGGCCAACACCAAGGCCATGCTTGATAAAAGGTCTCTCTGTGACGACGTCGCACCGGAAGCCTTCGACAGCCTTGCTGCGTGCTTGAAGAAGTACGCGTAGACCAACACCGTCTTCTTGATATGTACTATGTTTATGGATCTGCATACATATATATACTCGGCGCTTGCGCATGGGCGGCGGCGCCTCCGCTGGCTCGCGCCGTTGTTGCGAGTGAAGGAACCGAAGGCCGTCCGCGTCGCTTGGCGTCAAGCGTACGCGCGCGTCTTGGAGAAAGCTCATGGCGACCGTCAGCGATTCTTGCGAGAGCTGCGCCTCCTGCGTCACCATGAACTAGGTACAAACGATTCTTCAGCGGGGCTTCGTTATACAAATGAAAAGGCGTACCATGGCGTAGAGCGGCTGCACAACGACGTACACTACTGCTCTCGCCGCAGGAATGCTGGAAATGTAGTCAAGTCTTTCTGCACTTGGCGCGCCTGGTCCTGCGTCACCGCGTTTCAGATGGGCATCGAAAGCGACGTCCAGCCAGGATACGCGTGGCGCATTTCAAACATATCGGCTGCGTTCAGCGCGGAGAGTGTCGTGTTATCGCGCTTCGAATGGCCGCGACGAGGTCAACCAAGGCGTGGTGGGCTCCTGCGCGCACGTCGACGAGCTGTGCCTCGAGCTCCTTGAACCTATTGGCACAAATTATTGAGTTGGTTCAATATGATGGCAGAGCGTTTGTACTGGGTTGCGTGCGCGTGGGCCAGCGACATGGACGGCTTGGTGGCGGCAAGACGGAGCGCGCGCTGCGACTGGATGCGGTGGCTCGTTCGCATTTGGATCTCGCGCAGCGCCGACGCATGCATCGGTCGGCCGCAATGCAGCTGTCCAAGCAGCGTCGTGCTGCGGTACATGCGCTGCCGGACGTAATGTCTCGAGTGCATGACCATGCGGCGCCGAAGGAGCTGCTGGAAGAGCGGGATGCTCCGGAGCAACCATCCGAGTGTCGTAGACCCACTCGGCAATCGGGATGCACTCGGCGGGCTCTCACGGCTTGACGTGCACGAGGTGTTTGGACGACAGGACGTAGTGCTCGCCTTTCCCCGACGTCGCCGGCGTCAAGTCGTACGGGCGGCCGCGCGCCGGGTCCGCGACCGAGAAGTAGAGTACATTCCAGTGCTTCTCGCAGAGGAAGTAGTACAAGACCGCGTCTTCGATACAGTGCACGCACGCGAGGCTGCCGATTTTGACGGGGCTCCCGGCCGCCGGCGTTCGCTGGCGACAGCGCGCAACGAGCTTGGCATAGAGCTCCTGGTTGTCGTCCTTGAGCTTTTCCAAGCTCGCAATACACACATGGATGGACGCAATGCACGCGGCAGCGATGAGCATACCGCTGGTCGGGAGCGTAGCGCTTGGTCGGCGATGCAGATAGGCGGCGCAGGGTTAAAGTCGGCTGGCTCTAGGCAAATCTACCGGTAGGATTGACGTGCTCATCCGCTAAGGTGCGTCAACTGTTAGCTGCCCAATCGTCTCTCGTAGGTCTTTTTTCGAGCTACGTGATTGGCTATCTCTGTTTATACTTGATGTTTGTATCTCAATGAAATTTCATTCCGCTGTTGGCGGCGCCAGTATACATAGTGTGCGCGTGCTGGCCCCAGCACACGCACACTTTGTATGGCAGCATGCCACAAGAGTACTCTTGCATGCCAGCACTGCTGGCATGCTGCCAGCCAGCCATACTTGATAAAACCCATGCAAAAGTTGAGTGCCATTACTTGTGCTCTATTATACTAGAGATGGTGACTAGACACACGCATCACACCGGTCACTGACTTGAGGCCAGCAACCAATCCAACGGACGATGGTCGCGGCGCATCGAAGCAACGTAGCCACGAAGAGCACGATTGCCGCGCTCGAGCACGCGTCGGCCGTCGCCGAGATGCGCCGCAGCTGCCACCCCGTCGCGGCCGACGTTACTGTCGTGGTGGTCGAGACCGAGCCTACGGTGGCAATGCTGGTCGAGGCCACGCCCGTCGTGCGCGCCGCCAGCAGCGCGAAGCCCATCGACTCGTCCACGCAAAAGCCTTCAAGAAAGAAGACGAAGCCGAAGCCTACGAAGAAGAAGCCGAAACCCGTGGGCGCCAAGGCCGCGTCGGAGCGGCAAGACTGCTTCCGAACGGCCATCGAGGGGGCGGCGAAGGTCCTTGAGCTGCAAATGGAAGCGTTCGAGGAAGAGGAGCTTCAAGGCTTCTTGGTGGCCAACGGCTTGAAACCCGGCGGTGCGCTGCCGTCGGCCGTTCCTCGGCAAGTTCCGACAATTCTTTAAAACGAAGGGCTTTGCGATCGACGCCGCGGCGTACATGGATCACATCTCGATCAGCCTCTTCTCCAACAATCTCGCTGCAGACCTCAAGAAGTACTGCCGTCCTCCGGGCACATTCCACGTGACGACGATGGAGCACAACTATGTCGATCCTATCAGCGGCGAGCGCATGTGCATGCAGCACACGACGTGCGTCCACGCCAAGCACAATGACAAGTCGCTCGCGTTCCGGTATTACGATCCAGAGGCGCGCAACAAGTGGCGTCCTCTCACGAAAAATACCTTCAAGGCTGGCACGCAATTGCGCTGGATTCGTCGCGTCATTCCTTTACGCGATCGCACAACGGACGACGAGTAGTTGAATAACGACATGCATAACTTTTACTCGTACTAGTCGTTTATCAAGAAGAGCGCTTGGCAACGGTGCAGACAGCACCATCGCGCGACAACCCTCTCACGCGACGCGTTCTGTACTACGCTGAGTCAACGCAGCTACGCAAAAACATGTGTACGTACTACGTGGGAAATCGCGTGTACCCGCATCGCTGCAATCAAGGCCACCGACGCGGCTAACGCATGTAAATCGCCCATACTCGCCAGAGTGCTAGATCACACGTTAGAGAGTCCAAAATGATGTAGGTGGCGTCGCCGTGCGGGCTCTGTAGCGAGAGAGAAGGACGATCTCGGTGCTCATGCCATTTGGGCTCCGAGTACAAAAGGGAGACCAGGCCAACAGCAAAAGCACAGCCGTGGGTCGCGCCATCCAAGACACGGTTCGTGGTACTTTAGAACCGATGGGACTCATATATGCGGATATGGTCTCCAAACACCGCGCCGACGCTCACCGACGCCGCCGATGGCCATCGCGGCCAAAACTGTTACGCTAGCTCGTTCCACTACATATCACAACTAAATTATACACATGACAATCGCTTTCAATGTGGTCGAATCCAAGATTTTTATTCCAGAGAGCGCAATTACTCGCATTATGCTATCTAATAGGCCACCGCGTCGATCCACTGGTTGGAGTTGGCGTTATGACACTCCCAGACCTGCGCCGCGTGCGTCGAGTTGGTCGGGTCCACGTCCAAGCACAAGTTGCTGTGCGTCGCGTGCTTGATCTTGTGACCAGCCGCGTCGATGATCCACTTCTGGTTAACGTTGGTGGCGTCGCAGGCGTACGTATGGAGGCCAAACTTGTCGCCGTCCCGGAACGCGTCGAGGCACTCGCCGTTGCTGGTGACCTGGAGCGTCTTGGCCGCAGCGTCGTAGGTGAAGAGCTCGTTGACCGAGTCCGAGACCCAGTCGGCGTAGACGCCCGAGTAGAACTCGGAGATGACCTTGTTGTTCTTGGTGATGAGCTTGACGTAGCTCTTCTCCTTGACGTTGTCGCACTGGTCAAAGTACTGGCTCACGGCACCGGACGAGCACGGGGCGACGCTGGGGCCGGCGCCGAGCTTGGCGGCGTTCGACGTCAAGCAAAAGCCCGACTGCGGGTGGACGATGCGCTTGGCGACGGTGTCAAATTTCCAGATCTGCGTCGCGTCGCCCTTGCACTCGCGGAGCGCGACGGCGTTGGTGTTGCTCGAATCCTTGATCAGCGACAAGCAGCCATCCTCCGAGCTCGCCGACTGGATGATGTTGTACTTGAGGTCGATGACGAAGCCTTCGTTCTTGTTGTTCTTGATCGTGTCGATGAAGAGCTGGTTGTTCCACTCGGAGAGCACCGTCTTCTTGTACGTGCAAAACGACTTGATGTTGGCGAGCTGGGACACTGGTGCCTTGGTCGTTGGCGCGGGCGTCGAGACAAACTTGCCGTCCTTGAAGATCTTGTCGGCATTGATGCGGCCGTAACCGTACCGGTTGTTGGGCCATGCCGTGTCCGAGACGCCACCGCAGTTGAGCGCGCCGTCGTACACCGTGTTGTTGACATCGTTCGTGTACCACTTGGCGGTCTCAGTCGAGCATGTCACGGTCGGCGGTCGTCGTCAAGTGCTCATAGATCTCGTCGTACGTCAAGCCCTTTTTGACCGACTTCATCAAGGCAATGACACCAGCGACGTGCGGCGCGGCCATCGACGTACCGGCGAAATTGGCGGTGGCGTGGTCACTCTGGTTGGTTGCTGAGAGAGTGAAATAGCCAGGGGCCGAGATCGTCGGCTTGACAACCGTATGCTGGACGCCTCTCTTGTCGCGGTACGTGGCGGGGCCCTTGGACGAAAAGTACGCGAGCTTCGTGGGTTCGTTGTTGCTTGAGCCAATGGCACCGACCGAAATGACGTTGGGGTACCCACCGGGGTTGCCCGTGGTCGCGCAGGCCGGGCCGTTGTTGCCGTTGGAGACGACCGGAATGATACCCGCCTTGTGAAGAGCGGCAAACGCGTCTTCGTAGATCGGGTTGTACTCCTTGCTACCCCACGAGTTGTTGACGACGTGGGCGCCCTTAGAGCAGTCGGGGTTCGAGCCATCCGGCAGCGTCGGGCAAATCATGAACTGAAGGCACTCGAGGAGCGCCCAGGTCGAGCCCGTTTTCCCGCTCAGACCGCGGCACGAGATCCACTGCGCGCCGGGGGCAACACCGTAGCCGTTCTTGCCCGTCATGGTGCCGATCGTGTGCGTGCCGTGACCATTCAAGTCCACCGGAAGCGCTGAGTAGTCGTAGGGGTCGTACCAGCCATGGTCGGCGCGCCACGAGTCCTTAATGAGCTCGTGCGTGTGACGGGCGCCCGTGTCGATGAGTAGTCGTAGGGGTCG